CCCCCCGCCCCCCTTCTCCCCACCCCGCCCAGCCCCCGCCCCCTCCCCGATCCGCCCCCGGCACCCCCCCCCGTCGGAAAAGGGATCAAAGGGAAGGGTCTCCCCTTTGACTCAATTACGACGTTGCTCAATTTGGGGTGGGAGACGGCGGCGGTTTGAGGTGGGAGACGGCGACAGCCGTAAGGCGACGGCGACGACAACGGGGAGGGAAGCAGCGAGGGGGACAACAGCCATGGCGAACAGCACCGGGGCGGGAGCAGCGAGGGAGGCAAGAACCCCGACGAACAGCCCATTCCACACGCCGATCGGGTCGGCGGATTTTTGCTTGGGAAACTGGTCCTGGTGCCTCTTTCCTCTCTCACCCCTCCTCCTCCCCTCCCCTTCTCTCTCCTTTCCCCTTCCCTCCTTGTGTTATGTGTTAAATTAGATTTGACCATTGCAGTTTTCCGAAGTCACGAAAGTGTGGCATGGCTATGGGACCCTCACCCTTGCAGCTGTCCGAAGTCACGAACGTGTGGCATGGCTATGGGACCCTCACCCTTGCAGCTTTCCGAAGTCACGAATGTGTTGCAGGGCTAGGTCGTCGTCGTCTTCGTGCGACGTCGACGACGACGGCGACCTCCACTGCCTTCGTCATACATCCTACGTGCGACTTGCCGGGACGAATCGTTTATTTTCCCCCTTGGGACCCTGACATTTATTTATCCCCCGGAGATTCGGTTATTCCCCCGACCCCATGTTGGGCTTTGGACGAGTTTTGGCCGCTCTTTGAATGGCTCCATTTTGTTGTCGTGTTCTTGTTCGGTCGTCTTTTTTTATCCGGTTCCGTCGCCGTTTTGTTTCTTCAGTTCTGGTTATGGTTCATATTCCGGGGCGTTGTTTTTGTTTCCGTTTCGGTGCGTTGAATTATTTCGTTTTCCGATTGAAGAGACATATTCTTGGAAATGATTTACAGAGCAGTTACCTTGCCGCTTCCAAGGCCCACCGTGGGCCCACCTGACGGAAGTCTTTGATTATGTCCGTCTCGAGCTCGATCTAAGTCGGAAATTGGAACATGTACATTACCAGTGGCGGGTTGTTTTTCAATTCCAGGACTTCTTGAGGGTCGAGGACGACGCTGGGGTGGTATGGGTTCCCCCCCCCCGATTTCCCCGGAAAACAACGAAACATGTATACACCAGGGTCCCGTATACACCAGGATCCGCTCTCCAGTGCAAATTCCATTGCAGGGCCGGAAGAAGCGTCGGTGGATAGAGTTCGATTCCCTACTAAGGTCGGCTCAAATCGACGGACGTTCGAATCAGTATCAGTGCGTGATCAGAGCAAGCGTCTCCAGGAATCGTGGGCCCCGAAACGGGGTGGTGACCACACCGTGCGGTGAGTCGGTGGGGATTCAGGGTCACCGCACAGTTTTGGGACTCGGGTCGTTCTCCGAGGACGTCTCGGGCGGCTGGGTCCTCCGAGGTCCCAAGACCGTGCGGTGACGGACCGTGCGGTGAGGTCTGAGGAGATTTCGAGGTCACCGCGCGGTCTGTCGCCGCACCCTTTCGGGACTCTAAAAGGAATGTCTCCAGCACGAGCCCCGAAGTCTACGAATCCTGCCCCGGCGCTGCTGTGTCGGACGCCCACGCTGGGGTTCACTCGGCTGCAGACTGCGGACATCCTAAGACTTGGCATCGCTCGGACGTGTGCATGTTTCCTTCGGCGAGGACCATCGAGGAGCATCCTTGATCGTTTGGCGAAAAACAACGCACGAAACCGAAAACAACACAGGGGCTTGACGTCCGAGCGATGGCCAGCGCTGGGGTTCACTCGGCTGCAGACTGCGGACATCCTACGTACTGCGAGCCCCAGGCAACGATCGGCGACAGACGGCGGGGGGGAAGTGAACTCTCAGAAGGCTCGGATGCCCCTCGGCCTCCTGAGAAGCTCCTCAGTCCCCCCCCGGAGACAGAAAACTTCTCGGAAGGCGCGAGGGGGCTTCGGAGAAGCTCTTCAGTCTCCCCGGGAGACAGGGAACACTTCTCGGAAGGCGCGCGAGGGGGGATCTGAGGAGTCCCGCCGTCTTCTGAGAAGGCCTTCTCCTTCCGGGGGCCGTCCTGGGGGAAGGCTCCAGGGTCCAGGACTCGTTTCCCTCAGGAACCGGGAGCCTTGAGGCGGGGGTCAACTTGGCATCGCTCGGACGTGTGCATGTTTCTTTTGGCGAGGACCATCGAGGAGCGTCCTTGATCATTTGGCGAACAAGAACCACTCACGAAACCAAAAAACCACAGGGCATGGACGTCCGAGCGATGGCGAGGTCCAGGACTCGTTTCCCTCAGGAGCCGGGAGCCTTGGGACGGGGGTCAATGCAAACGGGTGTCAGCCAGGGCGCCGGGCCTGGCAGGATCCTGCAGGGCCAGGGCTGCATTGACCTGGGTCGGCGTGTAGGATCCTGCAGGACTTTGCAGGACCCTGCAGAGCCCGACCGACCCGAACCTGCCTGCACCTGGGTCAGTGCGTCCCCGACGTCGTGACCCGTTTTTCGACGCGGGTCCAGCCGTGGCGGCGAGAAACCACCAGGCCCGAAGACGAGCCAGGATCTCGCCAGGGAGGGCGGCCGTGGTCTCGACTGGCCCTCCGAGACGGGAGGCCAGGCTGCAAGTCCTCGGTGGTCAAAACTCGGAATCGGCGCTGGGACGTCCCTGGTCGAAACCTGGCCTGATCCGGCGCAGTCCCGCTTCATCCAGTCAAATCCGAGGCTCCATCAGGCTCAATCCCGGTCTCAATCTGGCCTGGTCCAGCTCCATGGCCCCGTTAATCGGTAGCCTGGCACGGACGTGTGCAATTTTTCTCGGCGAGGACCATCGAGGACCATCCTGGACCATCGAACAAAAAAAAACACGCACGACACCGAAAAATGCACGGGAAATGGACGTCCGAGCGACGGCAAGGTAGTCCTCAGTCGTTCTGGCGAGAATTTCCCAGGAGTTGCCTCCTGCGGGTGTGCGGCGGATTCCTACGCGGGATCGCGCTCGCTCGCGCGGGCGCGCGCGCGCGCGTCGCGGCGTCGTCGCCCTTCGGACGCGGTGGAGCCGCGCAGCGCCGGCTCCTTGTCCTCCGCTGGTGATGGTGATGGCATCGCTCGGACGTGTGCATTTTTCCTTCGGCGAGGACCATCGAGGAGTATCCTTGATCATCTGGCGAAAAGGCCACGCGCGAATCCGAAGAAAACACAGGGAACGGACGTCCGAGCGACGGCGAGTCCTCCGCTGATGATGGTGATGGTCATGCGTCTTCCCAGCCTGGAACAGATCCCTATCCTTGTGATGGGGAGCGAATGGACGTACACGTACATGATTCCACGTTGGTTTCGAGCGTACGCATTGCGCGAACGTTCGTATCACGCGGCTGGTCTCGCGGATTGGGGGGGCGTGCTTATGTAGGTGGTTGGGCGCGTACGTCTTTTGTGGGCTGCCCAAATGGTTGACATCGCCTAATCACGATGCCAGTCGTAGGAGTTTCTTCCTTTCTGAGGGCGCATCCCTGAGATTGTCACCACCTTTGGGCTAGTCAAGCAAAGGTATCGGGATAAGCTCGTGGCTGGTTAGCTTTAGCATCATCGTTGCCCATCCTCTTGTGCATCCGATCTATCCGAATCGATCTCTACGTTGGTTACCTTGACCCGATCTCGACTTTCCAGCGATCCGATGCTTTCCGATGCTTGCACGGCGTTGTTGTGCATCTAGGCGCAGACGATCCGATTCGAGTTCGGCTCCGTGCTGATGCAACCCGATTCAACGCACGTTCAGATTCGATCTGATTTCCCGATTCGGTGCTGAATTAGAAGGAGGGGAAAAACACAGACACAGTTAACCAGCGATTCCAAGAAAATATGGGAAACTATGGGGGAAGACAAAAACCCATCAAATATAGGAAACTATGGCGAATCCTTTGATTTGTGTGCATTTATTTGTGTGTCCCGGGGCCTCTTCAAGTCATCCTGCCATCCCCACTCGGCTAGGTCATCTCGGCCCCGCCGGCCAGGCCATGCCTCAGCGGAAGGCGAGTTGAGGCGGCGGCAGCTGGCCTTCGGGGAGCCACCTCGCCGCCACGGCGGAACGCAGCTCGAACACCTGGTGCGCTCGGCCCCCAGGAGGGGTCCGGGGACCGCTTTTGGGCTGCCGTTATCTCAACTTTTTGGCGATGTCGGTGGGCCGTCTCGATTTCGTTTTGCGGGAAGGGCGGATGCGAGACAAAAAAGCGAGGGAAAACGACAACATACGAAAACGAGAAGCACCGTTCAGGCTCGGCCCTGTCTCAACTCGCCCTGCTCCGAATACCCCTCCCAGTCGGGGATGGGCCCCGCGAGATTTCGTGGGAACCTCAGATATCCCCACGAAGGGGGGTAGGGCGGCCAGTGGGGCCAAGGCCGTGCCAGGAGGGACGAGGATCGGACAAGCGTTGCAGAGTGCCGGTGCTGGTGCTTGCGGTTGTGGCCGCCGTGTTGCTGCTCCGCCGAATGGTGGGTGTTGCTGCCGCTGATGCTCCTGCGCCTCCCTCCTATGACGCCCCCCCTCTCGCTTATCCCTCCACCGCTTCTCTTCTCTTCTCTCCCCCTTCCCCGGTCTCGCTCACTCCTCTCGCCTCCCCCTCTCCCCTACTCTTCTCTCCTCCCTCGCTTTCCTCCTTCCGCGGCCAAGCGCAAGGTAGCGCAGCGGGAAGGGGTGGCTGGGAGGGGTGGGATTTCAAAAATGGTGCGAGCGCACCTAGCTTGCCTCCTCACTCTTTCCTCCCTCCCCAGTTCCTGTTCCTCCCTCTATCATGCCTCCTCGCCTCCCTCCAAGGTCCTCCTGGCCCCCCGGGGAAGGCGGCGGAGGCGCCGCCAGGGGGCCCAGCGCCGATCCAAGAACTCCGGGCGGAGCTCCAACGTGTTTTGCTTTACGTACGCCCTTTTGTGTTCCACTGCCTTCGATACCGCCACCCGTCCCTCGTCGTCGCGGCTTCATTCGCCTCACCTCGAGACCCAGGGTTGCGTCCCCGGGCGGAGCAGCACCAGAGCCCGCCGCGACGGCCCGCGTTGTGCGCCTGCGCTGGTCGCGGCGCCGCCGCGGCTGTAGCTGGTTTGTCGCAGCTCGCGGGCTTGCCCCCAAGGCCTGCTGCCACTGCCTGCGTGTCTTTCTTGCATGCGCTGGCCCCCGCGATGTAGCCGATGCTGAGAGAGGATCAGCCAGTGAATCTAAACATACAATTACCGTGGCGAAGGACCCAGCCATCTGCGGTTGTGAGTACCCTCGTTGTGAGGGTGGCCTTCGATTAACTTCCCTACGGGGCCACGAAGCGCGGGGAAGGTGTGCCAGGATGTGGGTTGGAATTGCATGCACCCGCTGCCAATGGGGCCTTCCGTGGAGCTCCCTATGGAGCCACGAAGCGTGTAAGGGGTGCGCTGAGATGGGGGGTGGAACCGCATGCAACCGCAGCTGTGGGGCCTTCGGTGGAGCTCCCTATGGAGCCTCAAGGGCGCGCGAGGAGGGTGTGCCGAGACGGGAGGTGGAAATGCATGCAACCGTAGCAATTGAGGCAAAACGTGGAGTTCCCTGTGGAGCCACGAAACGTGCGAGAGGTGCGCCAAGATGGGGGGTGGAACTGCGTGCAACCGCAGCCACGCGGGCCTTCGGTGGAGCTCCCCGATAGAGCCACGAAGCTTGTGAGGGGTGCACCGAGATGGGAGGTGGAACTGCATGCAAGCGCAGCCACTGGGGCTGTAACTGGAGCTGGAGCTCCCTAAGGAGCCACGAAACGTTTGAGGGGCGTGTCGAAACAGAGAGACCAGGAGGTCAGAGGCACGGATCGGAGGAGGGAGGAGGGACCGAGAGAAGCGTTCTCTTCAAAACGAAGACCCAGCACCGACAAGTTGCGTAAGCGCACACGTTCGGAGTTCCGCGCGGATCTTTTGGAGCTGCGCTGGAGCCCCCTGGCAGCGCCTCCAGTGCCGCCCCATAACGCGTTTCGCGCACCGGGGAGGGGGGTCCAGAGCCGATCCAAGAAATCCACGCGGACCTCCGAAAGTTTGGGTTTATGGATTTCGTGAATTCTCTATTGCATGGGCTGGTCCTCGCTCTGTGCAGTCGGGCTGCTGACATGAGGCACGCCACGCAAGAGACGAAGCCCTTCCAGGGCGCCAGAGGCGCCTGCGTGCACGAGGAGGGCCAGCGGAGCAGCCACGCAAAGGTCCGAGGAACAGCGAGCCCTTTCCAGGCCCAGCGCGGTCCTGATGTCGGCGTCCTGGCTGTAGCTGGCCAGTGCCTCCTAGCCCATGGGGCTGCTGGAGGTAATCTTTCGGTCAGTGAGGCCTCCCTCACTGCCAGCAGTGGTTCCCCAGCCGCCGCTGCTGTGTCCTTTTTCACCAAGGCTGTGCGGGCGTCGAGCTCACAAAAAATGTGTCCTCTCTCGCTTCCCTCAGGCTGTCTGCTTCGCGCGCGCTGGTCCCCGCAGCGTGGCCGTCGGCGTCCGGCGTCGGTGTCGGCTCCCTCCTGGCTCGCAGCTGCAGAATTCGCTGCCGCTGTTTGCCCTCGTCGAGCGCGCCGATCCTCTCGTTGGGGCTGGCGACGCTGTGCTCAGGCTGCGCCCCACACAGCACACTGAGCAGCGCCTGCCGTTGCGCGCCCTTCTCGCACGTGCAGGTCCTGATGGCGTCGGGTTCCAGATTTGCTTTTCGCATCTCGCTCAGCAGCGCAGGAGCTCGCGGCCACTGCCTGCCCTCCAGTCAGGCTGATCAGAGAGCTGTAGCTGATGACGTCTGTCTTCGAGCTGACCTGCTGCGTCCCGCGGGGCTGCAGCAGTTGCCAGTGCCATAGTCACTTGTTATTGCCATCGAAACTTCGCCTCCTAATTTCGCCTCCTCCATGTCACTCCTAACTTCACCTCCTAGTGTGCCACTCTCTGAGGGCGATGGTTGTAACTTCACCTCCTCAATTTCACTGAGCAGCGACACTGCGCTCTGTCATTGCCAGCACTGCCTTTGCCACGCGCGCTTGTATCGACGCTGCAGCTACTGACCTCGGATTTCCAAGTTTGCATCCCCGTGCCTCCGCCCGCCTTTCACGCAAGCGCCGATCCTGCCGTCGCAACCGATGACGCTGAGGTCCAGACTTGCATCCACCATCTCGCTGAACAGCGCGTTCGCCTTCTATTCCCCGTGCGCGCTGATCACAGCGCTGCCGCAGGTGAGTCCGCGCACCGACTTCGCCTCAAACCTCTCGCTGAGCAGCGCCAGCGATCCCACAGTTGGATGCGTTTCTACATCCTAACCCGCCGCATCGATGCCCATTTCTGTAACCGCCTCCATATGCACGACCATAGCGCGCTGGCGGCCGCGCCGAACACGCACGCGGAGCCGAATGCGGACTCCTGGTGCTCCCCACTGCGACCCGGGTCCTGTCGAAACTCACGGCCACCGAGACGCCATCTTTGTCCCCAGCTGGCCCCGTCCGCCACATCTTGGGGCGGGGTAGGGCGGGAGGAGTGCGAGGGACATGGAGTGAAGGGAGAGGGGGGGAGGGAGGGACGAGTGTGAGATGTAGGTGGAAGTAAAAAGGGGACAGTGGAGAATGGAGATAGAGAGGAGAGATGATGGGGAAGAGGAGGAGGAGGAGGAGGAGGAGGAGGAGGAGGAGGAGGAGGAAGAGGGTCATGACTATGAGGCAAATCCTTGAGGCTTCGCGCGCAGGAGTTGTATTGCCTAGTCCACACGTCCTCCTCGTCAGACATGGGACGACGCTTGCCCGGCGATGTCCCGACGTAGAAATCCGAGGTGGAGGCCCACGCAGTCCCACACTGTCCGGATTGAACCCGACGTGGATCCGACGTAATTCGGGTTTCAAGCTGCCGCGCTAGGCCTTCAGGAATCCATTATAATACAGTGCCGTTTTTAATACATGCTCCGATGTGCGGATCATGTTTGAAAAGTGCAGGGATTTAGTATTTAAAACCAAAATGAGTGCATGCATGAATTTATTCATAAATCGACCATGTATTAAAACTCCTATGTTTTTTGAAACAAATCTAAAAAATGCCCTGTAGGCCTTTCAGGAATCCCTCGTAATAGCGAGTGGAAGGAGCAGGCGGAGGGTTCAAGCTCAGCGGGCTCCGCCCTGTGACCGCGAAGCGGAAGCGCAGGAGGACCAGGGAGGAGAGGAGAGCACGGAGGCAGGGCGCGCCGCGGAGGAGAAGGAAGGTGGGAGGGCGGCAACTTGGCATCGCTCGGACGTGTGCATTTTTCCTTCGACGAGGACCATCGAGGAGCATCCTGGATCATTTGGCGAAAAAAAACACGCACGAAACCGGACAAAAACAGAGGGAATGGACGTCCGAGCGATGGCCAGGCAAGGAGGAGAAAGAAGGAGGCGCAGGGCGAAAGCGGAGAAGGACCGAGGCCCGGAGGAGGAACCCGTTCGCAGCGGGCGCGGCGCCCGCGCCGCCCTCACGCGCGCCCCCACGACGGGCTAGGTGGACCACGATGCCAGGCTGCGGGGAACGGTCTCGCTCGTGGTCTTCTCCGTGGCCCCGCCCTGGGCCGGGTGGCGTCGCCGTCGTCTTGGCATCGCTCGGACGTGTGCGTCTTTCCTTCGACGAGGACCATCGAGGAGCAGCCTGGATCATGTGGCGAAAAAAACCACGCGCGAAACCGACAAAAACACAGGGAATGGACGTCCGAGCGATGGCCAGTCGTCGTCGTCGTCGTCGTCGTCGTCGTCGTCGTCGTCGTCGTCGTCGTCGTCGTCGTCGTCGTCGTCGCTGCCGCCTCCGCCGCTTCGGGGCGCGGTCTCGCTCGTAGTCCTCTCCGTGGCCCCGCCCCAGACCGGGCGGCGTCGCGGTCTCTGCTGCTGCCTCCGCCGCCGCCGCCGCCGCCGTCGCCGTCGTCGTCGTCGTCGGCGTCGGCGTCGTCGTCGTCGTCGGCGTCGTCGTCGTCGTGTGATCGGACTTTGGATACCCCTGGGGGTAACGCGTGATTCCCTCGCCCCCCCCAGAAACCCCGGTGGCAACGGTAACGCTTGCAAGCTGGGCACAAGCGTGAATTCTTGCAGTTTCCAAGGGACATTGTAAGGAGTACACAGGCGCTCCAGCGCACACAGGCATCGACGTGCACGCAGAGCAAGTGCACTGCGGTGTACACGGGCGCTGTGGTACACGCAGGCACAGTGGCGTACTTATACGGTGCGGTGCACATGGCGACTGTAGTGTGCACATGCACAGGCGTTGCGGTGCACGCGGCTGCTGTGGTGTACACAAGCGGTGTGGTGTACGCAAGCGTTTCTCTGCAGCGCAATGATATCAGAGGGGAAGGGTCAGGAAGAGGAGGAGGCGGCAGGTGAGTAGGAGGTATGTGTGCGAAGGGGGCGGGAGGGGGATCTGAGGAGGCTCAGAAACGAACCCGCGTTGCGGAATCATGGTTCAGTATTGTGCCGAGAGCTTCCGGTTGCGGAGGTCGTTCAAGATTGACGATCCACGCGGTGTTAGGAACCAAGTTCCACCGTGTCACGACACGGACCTATACCGTACAGCCGACGCCCCACGTACTACTTTCCCCCACCTCCCGCCTCCCTTACCTTCTTATCCCACTTGCTCCCAGCTCCCCCGCCTCTCCACACCTCTTCCCACGTCCTCCCGAGTTCTCCCACTTCCGCCCACGTCCTCCCGAGTCCTGCCACCTCCAACATCCTCCCATCTCCCACATCCCCCTCCCGAGTCCTCCTACCTCTTTTGTCGTCCTCCCGAGTCTTTCTGCCTCATCCTGTTTCTTCCTACCTCCTTGCTCTCCCCACCTTCCCCCGCCTCCTCTCATCTCCTTCCACTTCGTCCACCTCCTCCCACCTGCTCCCAAATCCGCCCGAATTCTCCCACCCCTTCCCATGCCGGTCGACTTTCATTCATCGAGAAAAACCCTAACCCTAATAATGTAGTGAAGACGTGGCCTCATTGATGTCCCGTCTTGGCATGTAGGATAATACTCCTGGACGTTTGGGTTTGAGACATCTGCAGGGACCCCCCATTTCTAATATCGCTGGCCCTCCTAACTTAGGTCCCCTCTCCAAGCGTTAGGGGCCCCTGTATTGCTAATCGTTTTTGCCTCATCACAGGATCTTGCCCCTCCTCCTTTGTCTGTCCCCTACTCGCCTCTCCTCCACGTGCCCGCTGGCACGCTGGGCGTTGCGGTGCACACATAGGCGTTGTGGTGTACGGAGGTTTTGTGGTGTGCACAGGCGTTGTGGTACACATGGTTGCAGGGGTGTACACATGGTTGCTGTGGTGCACACATGGTTGCTGTGGTGTACACGGGCGCTGTGGTGTCCACCAGCATTCTGGTGCACGCAGGCACCGTGGTGTACACGGGCGCTGTTGCGCGTGCGGCTGCTGCGGTGCACGGAGGCACTTTTGGTGTAGGCAGGCGGCGTTGTCTTGCACGCAGGCATTGGGCATTGTCGTGTACACAGGGGCTGGCACGAAGGCATTGGTCATTGTCGTGTACACAGGGACTGTGGTGCACACAGGCGATTGATGTGCTGGCGGTTCGGACTCACCCTGGCGGGTGCACGCCGCGGCCGCCGTTACCATTCCCTCTCCGCCCGCCCCCCCTCCCCCCCCCCTCTGTGTACCACCCCCCCGGTAACACGCGTTACCCCCAATGAATAAAACAAACGATCTCCGTTGCGGTCGTCGCAGTGGTGGTTCTCGGCACGGTCGTGCTGTACCAAGAAAATCAACATCATTACAATATTCGTTCCTCTCATCTCTCCTGCCTGGTCCCTCCAACATTCGTCCTCCCTCCTCCCCCCCTCTCGTGGCGACCAGACACGCTCACTGATACCCTGTTCCCTTCCCCTTCGCTCCCCTTCCTTTCCTCCCTCCTCTCTCCTCCCACCCCTTCTTGGCTACTGGGTCTTCTGCCCCGCATTTTTCACTTTCCTCTTGATAATCCGTAAGGGCTTCGCCCCCTGCCGCCGGCCCCCTCTCTCGGAGAATGGGCCATGGAAGAGCTAAGTCATGAGGCTTTGGCGCTGTCGTGCAGCAGTATCGGAACTTCATGCGAGGCCGATTCGCAATCGGCAAAACCAACTGATCACAAGAGGGGTTACCACACAGGGCGATTGGTAAGACGTGTATGGTTTACGAGCTTGGTTACCACACCTTGGGATTAAAGGGCCGAGGGAGTACTCGCAGTTTGGGTTACCACGCCTTGCGATGGATGTGCGTGAGGGGTGGCACCGAATTTCAGAAATGTGGCAAATCCCTTGTGTTTTTGGACCCTGACCCCGCGGATCTGCGTGAGGGGTGGCACCGAATTTCATGTGGCAAATGTTTTTGGGAATGGCAAATCCCATGTGTTTTTGGACCCTGACCCCGCGGATCTGCGTGAGTGGTGGCACCGAATTTCAGAAATGTTGCAAATCCCCTGTGTTTTTGGACCCTGACCCCGCGGATCTGCGTGAGGGGTGGCACCGAATTTCAGAAATGTGGCAAATCCCCTGTGTTTTTGGACCCTGACCCCGCGGATCTGCGTGAGGGGTGGCACCGAATTTCAGAAATGTGGCAAATCCCCTGTGTTTTTGGACCCTGACCCCGCGGATCTGCGTGAGGGGTGGCACCGAATTTCAGAAATGTGGCAAATCCCCTGTGTTTTTGGACCCTGACCCCGCGGATCTGCGTGAGGGGTGGCACCGAATTTCAGAAATGTGGCAAATCCCATGTGTTTTTGGACCCTGACCCCGCGGATCTGCGTGAGGGGTGGCACCGAATTTCAGAAATGTGGCAAATCCCTTGTGTTTTTGGACCCTGACCCCGCGGATCTGCGTGAGGGGTGGCACCGAATTTCAGAAATGTGGCAAATCCCTTGTGTTTTTGGACCCTGACCCCGCGGATCTGCGTGAGGGGTGTCGATTTCGAGCCCCCCAGCAATTCAGACAACGCGCCCAGGGGGTGCTAAAAAATCCTGTTTGGGCCTCCCCCCCCTCGCGCGGTCAACCAACTATTTACAGTAACCAGCAAGAAGCAGAACTGTAACACTGGAAACTACAAGCTACAACTGGTACTGGAAACTGCGAACCCGTGCCTCGCAGCCTGGTGGCCCCACAAGGGGGCCGGCGGATAACAACAACTCCTCATCGTCGTCCCGTTCCCTTCTCCGTCAGTTCGCCGTCCCCCCGATCATCAGTTAAGAACTGCTGGAGAGCGGTAGACGGGCGTACATCGCTTAAGCGCAAGACTCGAGTTCGCCGGTATATTTGAGTTCGCCGACGCGGTTCTACGGCCCCGACATCCTGACTGCCCAGTCTTCGTGCGGCTCTCGCTGGGGGGCCCGCGTCAAATTGCACATTTGGATTTGGTCGGTTGAAGCTTCTGATGCCTGGCAGTCTGTCCCCAAGCTTGGGCAGGCAGGCGGGCTGGCGGGCGAGTCGACAGGCGCGCAGGCAGGGCAGGCAGGGAGGAGACAGCTCAGGAATGGGAGAACAAAAATAGAACAATAACAAAAACTGACTCAATTCATCGTCGACTCCCAAGAAAATATGGGAACATATGGGAGGCGGGCGGGAAGACTAGCACCCAGAAAATGTGGGAACACATGGGGAATCCTGTTATCTGTGTGTATCTTTGTGAATCCCTTCAAAAGCGGGTCCAAGACCAGGACAAATTGGCCCATGGCGTTCCAGATCCCGATGGGAGCTTTTCGGAGCGCCCTGGAACGGCCGTGGCGCCCGACGCATCCTCCAGAAGCGCGGGGTCTCAGAGATCCCCGACGCATCCTGGTCCGATGTTGTCCCGGTCCTTCCAATTTCAGAGGGGGAAGGGGATGGCTGGGCGGCGGAGACGGGGAGCCGGCGAGGGTCCGCACGACCAAAACGGGCACAGAAAGAATGGGGACGAAGATCGACACAACGCGCGAGCAAGATGCTTGTATTCACGGACGCAATACGCGAGCGAGCTGCACTGTTGTATCATGAGGACGAACAGGCCAAGACCGCGTTCGCGATGGAGTTTAGAGGTTTGGATGCGGCCACGAGGGTTCTTCTGAAGGCGTCCGAAGTTGTTCCTAAGCAGCCTGATTGAAGGCGGCATTTAGAAAACCAAAAAAAACACTCGAACGGTAGGACCCAACACGAGAATACATGGGAGGTTCGTTTCGTGGTTTCCCATTCGACTGGGCGGAGTCCTCCTCCCGCTCTCTGTTGCGCCTCCTCCTCGTCATTTTCGCCCACCGTATCCTCCTCCTTCTTCTCGAAACTCTCACGCGACTACCGCCCAGCATTCGCACGGGTCAGAGAGGGAGCGCAGGGGGGGGGGCATGGCAGATAGATGGCGGCTGCAGTTCTCGATCTGTGCATTGATGAAACTGGTATTCTACAATCCGTTGGCAGCGAATAGCACGGACAGTCCGGAACAAATTAGCAGTGCACTACGAGAGCGAAGTGCGATTCAACAGCCAATTTGGGAATGCACAGGTCAAACAACAGGGATATGGTGATACGCAGACATAGTTCGGGCACGCATGCAGCAGCGTTGGGCCCAGTAGCCAAGGAGGTGGATAACCACAACGGCACCGCTTTCAGGGAACGTTGTGTCCACAACCTATTGCTAGTAATCACGACTTTCTTGCGTGAAAGACGAGAAACTTCTACGATTACTTGAAAGACAAGAAAATGAAGACAGCGACACCGACAGGGGCTCTAATTGCCACATGCGCGGGGGTGCGTTGCATTGAGAAAAGTGGCACCAAAACATAAGATCACGGCGAGAGGGCACAGAGACCACATCCCTTTTTGGGCATGGCTACTGGACTGGAACATCAATTTTATGTCTCGCGCAAGCACAGACAGCAAGGAGCAACCAAGAGGTGGGCCGCGACATGCTGATGGAGTGCCCGAGGAAAGGACGCCTCAGTGCGGAATTCTTGGACGCGTCCGACCGCCACTTGCGGGCCGCTCGGCCGCAACAGCCAGGAGACGCATTAGCAAGGCCATCTCGGAGTGCGACCCGGGCATATTCATCCGAACTCTTCGGAGGTGTATTAGCGAGGTCATGTCGGAGTGCGCCCCAGGAGGGGCATGCAGAGCCCCCTGGAAAAGCATTGGCGAGGTTATGTCGGAGCGCAACCCATGGGGAGCGAACGGCTGAGAAATAATGGAGAGATCTTCGGGGGCGCCCCGCAGCGGACCATATATGGACGAAATGGAACGCAGCGGGGTGGAACGGCATGAAAGAAGTATTCCCAATCAAGAAGAAACAGGAGGACAGGGGGGCAGCCGCCTTCAGTTACTGCGGCATGACCTACTGGCTGACAGTTTGAAATTAAGAGTGGACATGGTAGAGTCAGACGCGCAGGAGAGATTGGGGGACAGAAAGGAAGAGCTGGCGCAGATGCAGCATGCGCCGCGCAGGCGCAGGGCAAACTTGGAAGTTGCAGTAATAAAGAAGCCGGCGTACTATATGCATGGAAGGGCTGCGAGAATAACAACTCCAGCGAGACACAAGGGCATAGGTAGAAAATTTGAGGAATGGGGGAGGGCCAAAGAAGTCGCATTTTTTCTCAGCTCGAGCATGGAGGAGCACAGAGGAATAGCTAAACTCATTGGGCAAGCGCCCCCGCAAGGGGGGCCGGCAGCATAGGCGATGACCTTAGAAGAATACGAGCATGAGCGCGACGAGATGATCGCAGGAAGAATGCCGCGCCCACTGCGCATGGATTTGAGGGCCCAGCTGGAGAGGGGCAACAGAGACATGCTGAAGTGCTGCATGACAGCGGCAAAGGGGAGGGCTGCCTCCCCGCGCGGGGTGCCAGTGGAACGGAACGCAGGTAATTCTGGAACCCGCGGCCAACCTGGAGGACCCTGAACAATTGAGCAAGGAGCTGGAGGATCAGAGAGTACGAGCAGCGGAGATGCGAGAGGACGAGGGGGACTTGCGCAAGCGCAGTTCACTTTGCAAGTAGACGGCGGGCAGACCGATTTTACGGAAAATGGGCCGGGTATCAGGGGGGCGCTTGGCGGGACAGGTAGATGCGACGACGGGGGGGCACTGTGGGCGACGGGCGAAAAAAAACGTGCCACCTGGGGGGGCGCGAGAAAGCCGGGGTGGGATCGCCAGCGTAGGGGGCAGACGCGGATACGGAGTGCAGGAACAAGCTGGAGGACATCTTTAATAAGTGTCGCCAATATCCAGCTACGCCATCGGATCGGCACAGGTCTATTTCTTTCTCGGCAGAGAAAAGGCAATCAACAAACAACGGGCTCGGAGGAAAAATAGCTACGCGCGCTCATTGCTCAGCGGGAATGGCGCTTCGCACAGGGATCCATCACAGAAGGAGAAGACCAAAGCACCCATGCTGGAAACATGGACGGGGGGGGGCTTGAAGATAGATCGACGGCGAACGCGATTGCCTGTGTCGGAGCTACAGAATGGAGAGCAAGACCAGCAGGGGTGAGCACCATTGCCAGCAGATACGATTGCACCAATGCCTTCGCGAACGCGGAACGCAACCTCCCGCCAGCATCAGTCTTCGCCGCGTCGCAAGAGGAGGGCGTGCAATTCGCTATCGAGGTGCCACGCTGCGCATCGATGAGCATGGGACGCGCAGGCGACTGCTTGCGTGCACTGACTGCGCGGCGCGCGCAGATGGGATTCACCTCGCGCCCGCGGCAATTTAGTGATACCTACAACCTTTGCGCGGGGCAATGGCTCCAGGAAGAGAGGGGGCGGGGCGAGATGCAGACGGCGCGCGAGGCGGTTGGCCCCGTCCGCGTCCAGGGGCGCGATCTTGCTCAGTGCGCTCGCGGGCGACATCGCCAATATCCACGCGGCGGTTTCGCCGGGGCCGCCCGCGCAGGCGACTGGAGTTAGCGAGGCAATCTCGGAGAGCAGTCGGCTCTCGGCGAAGCGAGGATACCCTGGCTTGCCCAGGAGCACAGTGCCAGTCGGCTCTTGGCGGACGCGAGGATATCGCGGAGCGCCTTCGAGGCCCAAATGAGATGGAGGCCGGGCCGCCATGCCCAGCAAGAAGGATAGCGGAGCAGATCCATGCCACCGCGCAAGCTGAAGAGAAGAGGGTGGAGCTTGAACCCAGCCAAAACCAACCACCTCGCACCCCATCGAGGTCCAGGGCGAGACGGGGCCACGCGACAGCTACACATGGGGAAGAAGCTCAAGGGCTCGCCGATGAGGGAGATGAGAGCGCTGGGGCCGCACATACCAGGAGACAGGAGACCAAGGCTGCGTGGGAGAGATCAGGGGAAATGTGCAAGGCAATGAAGTTTGCTCGCAGACATGGCGGGTGCTTCTGGTCTGCTGACGCCACCGACAAGATAGAGAAGGAGACGTTCCAGGCGTATGTTTCGGGGGCAGGCCTGGGCGGATTGACGGCGCTTGTACATGAAGGGCGACGCGTGAAAGCGCTCGTCAGTACTATGGCGATTCTATTGAGACCAATGGCAGGAGGCAGGACGAGTTGGACAGGAGAAGATGGCACGACCAGGTGCAACGCCAATAAGGAGGTGCTCAGCAGATGGGGGAGGCCGCGTGGCTCAACAGCGCTGAGAACCCGCAGGCTGCGATGGCATAGGCAACGGGCGAAACATCCAGAGGACTTTGGCAGTGTGCTGGCAGCAGTTTTTGGCGCGCCGAAGCTGGGCAGTCTCTGCGAAGTCACGAGATTGGAACGTGGGCGAGCATGCGAAGCATCTACGCCTTGGGCAACGCGGGCGATGGAGGACTTCCTGGCACCGCGGAGGTCAGCGAGGGCGTCGCAAGCAGGCGCCCGCGGAGGCAATCAGATATCCCAATGTTCCAGACGGGCACGAGTGACTGGGGAGCTCGGTCAGAGACGGGCCCCCGTATTCCACGCCATGCAGGACAAGCTTGGGATGCAAAGCTACCAGAAATTACGGTGGGGGGTGACCTGGTCGCTCAGTTTTGGCGCGACTGGGGGGCTGGGGCTGAGGGGCAGGCGCGCGGGGCGCAATTCACTGCGGCGGCGGCGCTGGCAGCGCGCAGGAGGGTGGTGCACAATTGTCTTCTGGTGATCCCCGGCTTGGCGATAACGAATCATTGCCCATGGTGCCCGAGCTCTTCCGCGTCGAAAAATATCGACCGCCCATGCCGTGGGGGCCGCGGAGAGCCGCGGCATTTGCTGCAAACGCTGAAGCTGTTGGAAACCATCCAGTCCAGGAGCCTCCTTCCCTAGCATGCACCCTCCGTGGCTTTCAGGCTCAATCGTTTGGGGATTGTCAGGCGCGCGCGCGCGGCCGCCGCCCTGGGCCGCGCCGCGTGAAAGACGGCGATTGCACCGCGGAGACTGCCCCCGCTCAGAAGGGGGCGGGCGCGGAGATGGAAGGATAAACGAAGCGCCGCGGGGGCGGCAAGGGAAAAGGCACCAGTGAGCAGCAGAGGGGGCCAGCGCCAAGGCGGCGGGCAGCCCGCCCGCGGCCGCGGCCGCGGGGCCGGGGGGGGGCGGCAAGGGCGGGGGGGGGGGTGCGCCGGCCGCCCCGCCAGCAGCCACGCGCAGCGAAGGACTACGAGAAGTTCGACCTCAGAGGTTGCATCGACGGACCCCAGCGACTGGCCACCCGCCCTGCGGCAGAGGTCAGAGAGATGAACCACGTTGCATCAGACTTGTTCTTCGTGCCAGTCAGCAATTGGGCGTTTCGGAAGTCGTCGGCAGCGGGGCAGAACTACGGGAACCAGTTCAGCGAGAGGGGCAGGGGGCGCAAGCTGGGACCACCAGGCATGCGCGCGGGAAATGCGCTCATGGAGGGCATCCAGGAGATGGCGTCGGAATTGCAGTAGGCAGGGCCAACGGCAGTGGCGGTGTCGATCGATCGGGCACCGGGCGCTCTGACCGACTTCCTGGAGCTGGCGGGAGACAACGGCGAGCGCAGCCAGGCCATGGTCACAGAGACAATCAACGGGTGCAATGTCAGCGGGAGCCACAAGGCGCGCAACAAGAAGAACAGGAATCCGGGCGAAGACGAACAGGAGTTCTGGGAGGAGGGCCCAGGCAATATTCCGATCGGCATCAACGGGCCCCCCAACTTCAGGGCAGCGCTCCCGAAGGGCACGAAAGAGGGCGCAATTGCGAAGCTGGGCCAGTTCGCGAGCCACAACCTTAGGATGGCAGTGGGGATTCTGGTCGTCTACATAGGAGGCAAGAAGTCCCAGTCGGCGGCGCCCATGTCGAAGCTGGAGAGGATGGCGGGGCGGGGGCCGCAGCGCCGGCGCCGCTGAGGACGGCGGGGGCATTTGCATTGGCGATGTCATCTCGGGGTGCACAGGCCCCAAGGCAGAGTGCCAGGCCGCAGCTGTCGCGGGCAAACGCTTTCACTGCACCTCCGACGGCGTCAGCGTCGAGCATTGTTGGGGCCGCTCTAGGGCCCCCCCCAGGGCAGTTGGAAATTTTTGGCGCGCCCAACGGCGCGCAGGCGAATCGGAAGAGACAACTTCCAGGTGATGAAAGAATAGCGGAGTCAATTCGCATGGGCGTTTGACGCTTCGCTAAACTTAGACGCGTTGCCCCAGATGGTAGGACATACGTAGTGGCCCTAGTGTTTCGAGAGAGCGGGGCGCGGAGTTGCAGAGCAATGCCTTGGGGAAAAGGCCCCCCTGGCAACAACCAGTCCGCCCGTCCCTGTCAGTGACCGACATCATGTACCATGGCGACGCGGCGCGCATCTTTTTCTTTTCATCCATTGCGGATGCGGAGAGACGATGGGCGGGGCAGTTTGCGCGCAGCGCAGCACGCGCACAATGCAGTGCCGCGCGGGGGCGCGCCAGACATGGGCCCGGTCATGGGGCGATCAAGGAGGCAAAGTCAGTCCATGGAGGAGGGCGCGCGTCGACTGCGAGCTGAAGCTGAGGCAGGAGGGGCGGGGCGAATGGAGCGACGAAGAAAAGACGCCGCATGCGGGGGAGCAGCGTGTTTTTCCCAACCATCCTGTGGTGTTGGGTTGGGTCCTCGTTTTGAAGAGACGGTGCCCCGCGTCTCCTTCCTCCTCCTCTCCTCCTCCGCCTCCTCTCCCCTCATCATCCTCTCCTCCCCTCCTCTCCTCCTCTCCTCTTCACCCACCCAGTACGCCGTTTCGTGGCTCCATAGGGAGCTCCACCGAAGGCCCCAGTGCCCGCGCCCGCATGCGTCACCCACACCCATTTCGGCACACCCCTCACACGTTTCGTGGCTCCATAGGGAGCTCCACCGAAGGCCCCAGTGCCCGCGCCCGCATGCGTCACCCACACCCATTTCGGCACACCCCTCACACGTTTCGTGGCTCCATAGTGAGCTCCACCGAAGGCCCCAGTGCCCGCGCATGCGTCACCCACACCCATTCGGCACACCCCTCACACGTTTCGTGGCTCCATAGGAAGCTCCACCGAAGGCCCCAGTGCCCGCGCCCGCATGCGTCACCCACACCCATTTCGGCACACCCCTCACACGTTTCGTGGCTGCATAGGGAGCTCCACCGAAGGCCCCAGTGCCCGCGCCCGCATGCGTCAGCCACGCCCATTTCGGCACGCCCCTCACACGTTTCGCGGCTCCATTGGGAGCTCCACCGAAGGCCCCAGTGCCCGCGCTTGCATGCGTCACTCACACCCATTTCGGCACACACCTCACACGTTTCGTGGCTCCATAGGGAGCTCCACCGAAGGCCCCAGTGCCCGCGCCCGCATGCGTCACCCACACCCATTTCGGCACACCCCTCACACGTTTCGTGGCTCCATAGGGAGCTCCACCGAAGGCCCCAGTGCCCGCGCCCGCATGCGTCAGCCACACCCATTTCGGCACACCCCTCACACGTTTCGTGGCTCCATAGGGAGCTCCACCGAAGGCCCCAGTGCCCGCGCCCGCATGCGTCACCCACACCCATTTCGGCACACCCCTCACACGTTTCGTGGCCCCATAGGGAGCTCCACCGAAGGCCCCAGTGCCCGCGCCCGCATGCGTCCCCACACCCATTTCGGCACACCCCTCACACGTTTCGTGGCCCATAGGGAGCTCCACCGAAGGCCCCAGTGGCGGCGCTCACATGCGCATGCGTCCCGCACACCCATTTCGGCACATCCCTGACAGGTTTCGTGGCCCCATCATCCACCGGAGGCCCCAGCGGCGGCGCTCACATGCGTCACCCACACCCACCCAATTCGGCACACCCCTCACACGTTTCGTGGCCCCATAGGGAGCTCCACCGAAGGCCCCAGCGGCCGCGCTCACATGCGCCCCCGCCACCCATCCCGGCACGCCCCTCACAACAACAGGTTTCGTGGCCCCATGGGGAGCTCCACCGAAGGCCCCAGTGCTGCCGCCCGCATGCGTCACCACCCGCACCCAATTCGGCACACCCCTCACACGTTTCGTGGCTCCATAGAGAGCTGCACCGAAGGCCCCAGTGGCGGCGCCCACATGCGTCCCCGCCACGCATCCCAGTACACCCCTCACGCGCTTCGTGGCCCCATGGGGGGCTCCACCGAAGGCCCCAGTAGCGGCGCTTACATGCGTCTCCGCCACCCATCCCGGCCCCCCCCCCCCCCCCCCCCGCAGCAGCATCATGTTTCGGGGGTCCATAGGGAGCTCCACTGGAGGCCCCAGTGGCGGCCCGCACATGCGTTTCCGCCACCCATGTCGGCGCGCCCCGCGCGTGCTTCGCGTCCCCATAGGGAGCTTCGCCGAATGCCCCAGTGGCACCCATCTCGGCACACCCCTCACACGTTCCGTAATCCTATGGGGAGTTCCATTGAAGATGAAACCCGCAGCTGCGGTACTGACAACTGCATATGGTTGGGTTCTTTGCCAGGCTAATTTTACGAGAGCAGGTCTGTCGAGAACAGGAGAGGAATGCAAAAGGAACCGCGTGGGCAGCCCAATCTTTGGGCAGGCCAAAGCAGCGCAAGCGCTGCTGGCGGAAGAAGGCCCAGAGAAAAAGCTTCGCAATACAAGGGGCAAGTTGGCCCGGGAAAAGTTAGGGGAGATGGCGCAGGCACTGTTGGAGGGCATCAACACGAACGCGGGCATCTTTGCAGCCCTACGCAAATCAGGAGAATGCGTGGCAGAGGTTTTGCGACGCGCCGGGGAATGCGACATCTTGCTCAACAAGTACATGCCATGAACATCAATGACGAAGATGCACTGAAGGCAGCAAACAAAGAGTCGGAGGAACAATGTGAAGAGCTGCACGAGATGGGCGACTACAGCACGGCGAAGAGCACGGGGGAAAAAAAAACAATCGGCGCACCTCCATGCGCTGCGCTACGTGGACATGTGGAGCTGCAACGTGCAGCTGTTCAACGTGTGCAGGAATAACGCGGGATGCAGCGACGAGAAGGGCGTCGCCTGTTCGCGCGGGCTTGCCTCCCCAAGCGAGTTGCGGTGAAAAGGCCCCAGCGCCCTCTCGAGAGGGGGTCGCCGGCAGTTCTGGCGCAAGGTGGGCCAGTCGCAGCTCGTCAAGGCGCAGAAGGGCCACCCAGAATATGCGCTGGTGAAAGAGAGGGTGGGCAAGGCGAAGGGCGCGTTCGGCGATGACTGGGGAAGGTGGCCAGACACCGGGTGCAAGTCGAAGTTCCTTTTGTTTCAGAGTGGGCCGTCAAGTGTGGTGGAGGTCTTGGTGGGACATGGCCGGGGAACGCTCGCAGCGGAAAGGCTGCCGCAGCAGCTGGGCGACGCCATCATTGAGTGCCGCTGCAAGTCCTGCGAGGCCGCCCAGAAAATGAGCCCAGAGGAGCTTTGCGAGCTGATCCCCGTGTCCTTCCCGATGACGCACAAGGTGAAAGGTTGCGATAGCATCGCAAGGTATCCTGTGGGCGCGCGGGACAGGGCTTGGAGGAAGGGCGCTGCAGATTTCGTGGAATGACGCAGAGAACCTCCACGAAGTTATGATGGTCGCCATGAAGGGGCTTCGCAACGGGGGCTATGTCGACCCAGGGGAAGCAAACATATTCGCGCGACGCCACGCATGCCCTGCTGGATGGCACCTATATCTTCGAGGACAAGTTCGCCTCCCCAAGTCGGGGGGGGGGGGCGACGGCGGCCAGCTCTTCCAGCGGCCGCTAGTGAGAGCACCTACTGGAGCCCCACTGGAATGGCAAGAGATGCAGTAGCGTGGTTTCTTGGAGTGCCACTCTGGGCAAGCTGGGCGAGCCCGCCGGCGAAGCCGAGGGATGTAGTGGCGAGGCTATCTCGGAGTGCTACCCAAGGCAAACAGGACGGGCGAACACAGAGCGCTCGCACTGACATCGCCGTGGGAAGTGTTTTTTTGAGTGCCGACAGGCGCATTGCTGCGAGGATCTGTCAGTATGTAGTCAATCCGACGCAAAGCTCCGCTGTTGCCGACATGTGCGGCCTGTGTCAGAGCCGAGCAAAATTGCATTGAGGGCCCTCGCGTCGGCTTCGATGAGAAAGCGCTGCGTAACAACACCGAGGGCACATTCATTCTGCGTGGTCTCTTATGCCGGCAACGGCAGAGGAAAGCGCAGGGCCCAGACGGGCGTTAGCATCGATGAAAAACCAAGTTGGGTTTACAAGTGCCATGAAGCTGACCTAGTTCCTTCCCGGAGCCGTCTCTGTCAGCTGCGCCGCTGCGGGCGTGGGGGTTGTGGGCCACGAGGGCGGCGAGAGACGCTGCTGGGGCCTCAATTCTCACGCAGAGGTTGCGAGTCGTCGCCGAGACAACGCGGGCGTTCTTTGCTGCGACGTTGCATTGTTTTTCCTTTGGGGGCACGCGGGGTCTGAGTGTGAACCAAGAGTTCGACTATCAAGCCTTGGTTGTTGGATCCGGGGGAAATGATGAGACAGTCCCCAGCCACTCCGGTGCCTTTGGGCGCCCTGGTTTCTTGGGCGCCCACAGCGTGCGCGCTGAGATCGCTCAACTGGATTGGAACCTTGTTGCGGGCCCTGCGGAAATTCCCGGCAAGCCCGCGGGCGACCCTGATGAGGACTTGTGCCGGTGTGAGGCTTGCGGATTTTTCGTGGCCCGAAAGTCCGTTCAGCACGGAGAGCCTAGCCTGGCATGCAGGTGGCCCTGTGGCGGAACTCTGAGAATGGCAGGATATGCCGCCCGATCGTTACGGTTGGCTTGATACAACCACACCCGTTCGTGGGCCTTCTCACAGGCTGAGAACCCCAAAATGTATTCGGGAAAAGGGGCTGGGGCAGCCAAACCTTTGAACACCACTCCGGCCAGCCAGTCGGCCATCGCATTCCACGGGTGCCCGGCATGTCCTTTGGCGCGCGTGGCGGAGACCGAGCGAAACTGGCGCGCGTGAGTCGGCCGATGCGGTCATGAGCCCGTTTCTTTATTGCTTGGGGCATGACGGGCGTCATGGCCCCCGCTCCCCCCCCCCTATGACGTAACGCTCCCCCCCCCCAGTGCGCTCCGGGCACTGCCGCCGTGCGCATTGGGATCCGCGTAGGTGTCCGCGTAGGAATCCGCATAGGCGTCTGGTCCGCAGGCGTCGTCGTCGTCGTCGTCGTCGTCCGTCGTCGTCGCTCGTGGTTCGTCGCTTGTCACTCATCGTCGTCTTGCGTGCGGACGCTGCTGGAGGAGCCTGTTTGTAAGTCCGGGCCGATGACGGCAATCATTTGGGAGGGAGGGGGTCGATGACATCACGTTTCGCGCCGGCGGCGTCTGGGAATGCTTAGGAATGACGGAGGACGGGTAGCACGAACATGAACGTGGCGATCTGTGCACCACAACGCCTGTGTACATCACAGTGCCCGCGTGCACCACAGCGCCTGTGTACACCACGCCGCCGGCGTACACCACAGTAGCCGCGTGCAACACAGCGTCAGTTTGTGCCACCGTGTTTGCTGGCACAGCAGCTCCTGTGTACACCACGGCGCTGCCGTACACCGCATCAGCCGTGCGCAACACAACACCAGTGTACACCACAATGCCTGCGTGCATTGCAGTGCCCGTGTACGCCACGGCGCCTGTGTGCACCACATCAGCCGTGTGCAACACAGCACCATTGTTGTGTATAGAATTTCAGAAGGGAGACCTTTTGTGACAACATGGAGCGCGTGTGGATTCCAGAGAAAACAATGGAAAACCAATCCTCATGGACGAAGGAGCGTCGCTGGAATCTACGAGTCCCCCCGACTCCGCCCGCATCACAACAAATCCCCATTTGCCTTGAGGAGAGTCCAGCTAAACTGGCCGTCTGAAAACCAAGTGGACCGATTCAATCGACCATTCTGCGGTGCACGCTGAGATGCGCATGTGCGTTGCAACGCCAAACCGCACGACAGGGGGTAAGAAGGAGGAAAAGGAGGAAAAGGAGGAGGAGGAGGAAGACGAGGACGAGGACGAGGACGAGGAAGAGGAGGAGGTGGAGGTGGAGGAGGAGGGAGGAGGGAAAAACGTCGCATTCGATTATCCGAATTTTCCTGGCGTGGCGTTTAGATGTCCGCGGCAAATCCTGACGTACATGCTCCTTCTACCTGTCCTATGCACGCAGGCACTGTGGTGTACAACGCTGCGTTGCACGCGGATGCTGTGGTGTAGACAGGCGCCGTGGCGTGCACAGGCGCTGTGGCGCACGCAAACACAGCGGTGTACACAGGCGTTGTGTTGCACATGGCTGCTGCGGTGTATGTACACCAGCGCTGTAGTGCTCCCAAATATTGTGGTATACACGGGCGGTGCGGTGCACACGGCTGTTTGCGGTGTACGCAGGCGCTGTGGTGCACACGCGCGGTGTGGTTCACGCGAGCGTTGTGGTGTACACAGGCGCAATGGGCAGATCGCCATTTACATGCTGCTCGCGTCGCCGTCGTCGCTCGTCGTTCGTCGCTCGTCGCGTCGTGCGCGCGGGCGCGGCCGTGGTGCCGTAACCACACGGCGGGGGGGGGGGCGTCACGTCATACCCCCCCCGCCCTCCCGCCCCCCCCCCATGACGCCCGTCATCGCCGAACATAAAGAAACGCGCTCCATGGGGGTGCTGAGTGGCTACATTCGAAGCATTGACCACGTTCGTTGAATCCGACTGGAGGGCGGCGGGGTGGCTTTCAAACAGTCCCGGTAGGTAGATCGCTGCCCACAGCGCGCCTCCGACTCATTCTCGGTGCTGGAGCGTCGGTTGTGTAGTGTCGGAGTCCTGCGTGAGCGCTCAAGCGAATGCGCCTGCCACCCCCGTAGGGAACCGCCATTGGGATGCTGATTGAGTGACGGTAGAGCCCAAGCTGCCGGGTTTTTCTCTTTATTGAACCGTTTGCGAACAGGTGCAGTTGGTGACAATATTGTGGCCCAGGGTGGGCGAGGTCTAAGGCAATGCGAACAACCTCGGGCATGTTTACCTCGGGCATGCACATGCTTAGGGGAATGTTATGGCTTAGGGCCAAGTCCCTCATGGACCCATGCCAAGGAAACGCGCGAGGTGCCACCGAAGAAACCCCGAAGACAGGCATATGGTCCCCAGGTGGTACAGTTACGGGTGGGGTGGGTGGCTCCCCTATGCCGAATGACAGACAGAGTAACGTCATCATCCCAATTGCAGGGAGGGGGGGAGCAGGGCGGGGGGGAGAGGGGATTGCTGCGCAAACTAAGTGCAAAAAGAGGTGATGTAGGCGATCGTCCATCAGGCGTCGTCTGCGCAGTGCCAATGGCCTGATATGATGGAAAAAACAAGTGCAAACGGGCGCGTGAAACATTGGGTTGCCAGAGGTGCCTGCTGACCAGGACGCGCAAGCGCAGCTGGACCCCAGTGGTGGGTCATCTATTGCTATCATCTGGTGCAGCAGACATTCGGCCTGTCCCGGGTGATGTGCTGGTGCCAAAGTGATGTCTACCAGGGTGCTGGCAGCGTGGTCCCCCACTTCATACTGCCGCGCGCCTGGTGATCTGGGCAAGGGGAGGGGGGAGATAGTAATTGAGGTCCAGATCGAGGAAATGAAGAGAGAAGGGGCCTTGGCTGATGGGTACTGCAAAATCTGCCCTCATAGTCCCGTGCCTACTGGACTCCCCACCGTCCCCGAATGTTACACAGGCTGCTATCCAGGTACACGCGTGAGCATTGAGCAACGCACTGTGGCACAGTTGGTGTTCATCTATGTGGTGTGGACCAGAGCTGCAGATGATGGGGCTCAGAACCCAGGAAGCAAAGTCGAGAAAAAAGACTGGCCTTGCGGCCAGAAGATTGGACGGTGGTCTGGTGGAAGCTGATCCACGCACTGTCCTGGGCCTAACCAAGGCCCTGGGTTGAGCTAGGCGAGATACTGAACTTAACCTTGTATCGTGAGAACAAGGATCCTTCACAACCTCAGTCCCCTCACCCCAAGACCCGCCACCATTCTGCCCAGTGCAGTGTGGGCGCCTAGGTCAGGTTTCTAAAGCACGCAGGTTCAAAACTGTCGGCACCGAGCAAGTATCCTTTTCCGTCACAGACGGGGTGGCGCATATCAGTGCCCATGCGCTCATGCAAATTGGGATGGAGGTGCGACTGTCAATATCTAGCCGATCGCAGAAGCTAAGAGGAACACCAGGTAGAACCGAACCCATAAAGTTCCAATGATGTTTCAATTCCCAGGGACAGGTTTGAGATAGAGGACTAGAACAATCTACTGAGTCGGCCAGTGTCTCCCAGACCAACCTCGAAAGATGTTCTGCTGACGCGGCAGCGGCAGCATGCACTGTGCACGGGCTCGAGAGGTCTCGAATCTCCTCGGTTGCAAAGCACGTGCAGTGGCTGCAATTGATGAAAGGACCCTGAAGGGGTTTAGACGCAGGTTGGGAGAGACAGGAGCGAGAGGGCACCGTATGAGGGGAGGGAGGATGAATGAGAGGATGACAGTCCGTGCGAAAAAACGTGATCCTCTCATTGGTGCCTGGCCTCCTTCCTCGGAGGTCTGGCCGTCAGGTAATCCATTTCTTCCCCAACCGTTTGAGATCCCTCTATCGCAATCACCTTTGTCAGGCTGTGGGTCGAAGCTGATATGTTCCGGTCCTCCTCTGCCTGCTGGATGGGCTGAGTTGGCGCCGGGTAGATCTGGTCGATCGTCCTCAGCTCTTGTGCATCTGCTGCGGCTGCTGGCTGGTCCCCGACTGGTGAGGATGCCACTGGAGTAGGAGCCAGGAGTGGCGATGACGATCGCTGAGCTGGCGGGAACGGGGACGTCGACTCCATTAGTGGCGACCCAGCGCGCCTGGCTGCTGGAGGCGTCTGCGGTACTGGCATGCCCATGGATGTTGCCAAACCCGTAACTGGAGTAGGGGGCTTTTTCACTTGCCGATGGGCCCCCGCGATGAACCGCACCGCCGACGTCAATTCTTGAGTCTTCACACCCTGAGCCGCTTGAGTCTGCGCTTGAACTGCCATTTGATTCATTCATGTATGCATGGCGGCGCACAGAGAGTCAACATTGTTTTGAGCAGGCGGCTGCTGAGGCGGCGGGGGTATTGTAGCTGCCGAAGTAGGAGGTCCTGATGCTGTGCCTGCGGCTGTGTCGGTAGCCGAGGAGGAAGCTGCAGGCGGCGCGGCGCCAGCTGGATGCATGC